TTCTCCACTGAAATGTAGACTATAAGCCCGGAAGGGCAAGAATCTTACCTTGTTCACTGATCTATCCACTGTGCCTGGAATTAAGACTAGTATATACTAGGCCCTCCTGCGAATGAAGGACTGAATGAGTGAGCAAAATCCTCTCATCAAAGCAGACTCTGGGGTTATTCATTGTACTTATAAATGTTTATCAAACTGTCTCCAGAATTAAGAAGCATGGGCCAGGCAGCTCAGCATGGTGTCCTGAGGTGGATATTCTGGGGTTTGGGATAGTTGGGCTCCCCAGGCCTGACTTGTAAGGCTCAGATGGGGGCTGACTTGATCTAGGTTATATAGCTAATAGGCAGTGAAGCCTCAATAGCAGGTAGGTGTCCGATCAATGTATACAGAATAAGCAAAGAATACTTAGACTTTTTTTTTTTAATTCCTTACTTCTACCTCTCTGGCATTATTCATAAAATCACACAAATGAAAAAAAAAATCAAATGGCAGAATCAAATGGCAGAAAAAAAATCAAACTCGATGCGAGTTACAGTTTAAGGGAAAGACATGTGCTGGGATACCGTGCCAAATGACAGTAGGGATGCAGTCAGCAACATTTGAGTTGCTGACTTTGAGTGATGGGAACCATACAGGACAAATGGCCTAGTTTCTTCAATAAGTAAATATCAAGAAGAAAAGGAAGGGGGGGCACAAAGATTAAATTTCCATCTTTTGATCATTAAAGGAGACTTCACATATCAATTGTACTAAGCAAATGCAACGTGCATGGAGCCTGCTTGGATCCTGAATCAAACACAGAAAAGCACATGAAACAGGAGGTGAAAAGGAGAATCTGAACACTGACTGGATATTTGATGATAAGAGATCGTCTTCCATTTGTTTTGTGTGTCTTTTATTTGTTTCTGGTTTTGTTTTTAAATTTTGTTTTCCATTTGTTTTAAGTGTAGTAGAGGGTACTATGATCGGGTGTTTAAAAGGGTAAGACTTCCCAGGCCTGTGAGTAGCAGTTTTTTGGGTGAAAAGATTTGAACCTTGGGTTCTGAGTTTAATGGGCCCATCAAGGCCAATTTATGGTAAGAAGTGAGTTAGCTGGTGGTCACCCTACAGCTGAAGTCTTCCAACTGTAGCCTGTTGCCTCTGGGGTACTGGGAGACCTTCAGAGAGCAAGTGGGCCTGAATAGGTGGGCTTTTAAAATGATACTGTAGTATTTTATTTATTCTGCCCACTAATAACTAACATTTGAGAACATGTACAATATTAATGTAACTTAATCTAAGTGAAATTCAATTTACATCTTTTTTTACATATCAATAAGAGAGACAGTCCAAATAATTATCGTCAAAATTATAATGCCAAAACTTATAAATGCTTAGTGTTAGGATGTCTACATTCAGTTTTTGTTGTAAAGTTCCAGGGCTGTAAGAAAAAAACATTTGCTTCACTCCACTAATAGAAATCTCTCTTACTACTAGGATGGCTTCTTCTTTGTACTGTAATTGTATCCATGGAGTAGCATGGAGAGGTATTCATGTTAATTCCAAAGAAAGAGCGTATCACTGATTATTAGAGTGCTAAGGAGGTAGGCAAGTAATGCAACTGCCCAATATTTTTGAGGTCAACAGGTTAATTCTAAGGAGTTTCGCCAAGATTCAGGAATAAAAAGCTGACATGAGAGTGTATGAACTCAAATTGGGAGGTTAAGAAAAGTACAGAGCATGTATGAATTGCTCTTTCTGGCAATGAAAACTGAATTTTTCCCCATTTTCCCTGTGGCTTTGCACAGTCTCAGTGCTGAGTCTTTGTACAAGCGCCCACCAGGGAGCTGCAGGAGGGTGAGAGGAAAAACCAAGGGAAAGGCACCATGGTCCCCTAACCCGCACTCCATGGCAAATGAATAGTTTTAAGGGACTCAGTTTCCGGGGTCTCAGCTTCAATATGTATCCGCTCTAAAACCCACCTGCCAGAGAGAGTGCCTGAGGTATGAGGATTCTACTTTCTTACCTTCCCCTGCCTCTTTCTCAACCTTTATTTTCCCACTTTGCTAAGTTATTACTGGACTCATAATGGGGGCATCCCCACCCATAAAAATCTGGTTGTGAGTGCCTGCTTCCGGGTAGGAATCCCTAACATGGTCATGCCCAGCCTGCAGACTGCCATAAAAAATATTGAAAGAAGAGGTACGCCATCTCATCCAGGCAATGAGCCTCTCCATCCCCATCCATCCATCCATCTATCTATCCACCCACCCTTCCCTTTCTCTCTCCCTGTCTCTATTGGACTGAGAATCAGAAGTGAGATAGATGTTCTCAGGATATATTGGGTTGTCGGGAAAGTCATGACGTATTTTGTCT